CGATACTTGATCTATCTCTTACTGTTACATCCCTGGGCAAGGCCGGGCTCTACTGCTACTCAAACTCTATTCCACCACATTGACAGGCAGTGTTTATATCTGATATTCTGCTTTGTGAATTCGGTATTTAACACCAGACGTACACCAACTGTAATATTCTTTTCTTACTTTCTCCTTCATTTGTACATGCTGTATTCCATTTTCTCATGCAGTTCCCTAATCTTTGTAACAAAATCTAAATCTCTTGAGTGTGCTTCTGTAATTCTCCCTTTCTTGAATGTTACTTTATTTAATCTCAAATCCATACCGAGCTCATCAATGAAACCTTTTACAGTATTGACGATCCCCTGCAACTCATTTTCGTCTTTTATAATAGGTGGATTATGGTTTATTTGTACTTTTCTACCCACTTGAAATTCCTTTTTGAATTTGTTGGCTTCCTTTCATGTTCTTTGACACATATCACCATCTAGTCTTCTGTATTTTATAGATATCGTTGAAGACTATTTGTTGAAGGATTTTTAAGACAGTTCTAGTTGAACTAATCCTCTTCCTACTTCGGATCTAGGCACATACAGACGGTCAACATCTTCTTTAGGATAACGCATGAGGTGGCTTTCTCGTTTTTATATCCATTGCTTAATGTCAGCTATGGTCCAATTAAGGATGTTGTAACTGTACTGCACTACACGGACAGCCAAAGTGTTCATGGATGACATTCTGTTTTGAGAATTCAAGTCGGTATTTAACACCAGGCGCACACGCCTGTAGTATTCTTTTCTCATTTTCTTCATTTGGATATGCTGACTCCTTTGTATTTATAGGCCTCTTCTCATCCAGTTCCCTAATCTTTGTGTCAAAATCTTGATCTATTGTGTGTACTTCTATAATTTTCCCTTTCTTGAATGTTACTTTTGCATATTAATCTAATCTGAAATCCATACCGATGTCATCACAGAAACATTTTACACTATTAAGGATACACTTCAAGTCATTGTCGTTTTTGGCAAAGATTTTGATACAATCCATGTGGAATAGATGATTAAAATCTTTCTTTTTTATTTTATACACATAGTTATTGCTGTTTAGTTCATACGTGTTGTGTATGATACACCTAATTTACATAAGCGGACTACCGACCATATAAATATGGGTTGGTACCGGAAGACGGGGAAGAAAGTCGAGATTAAGCGTTTACACCGTTTTTTCTCCTGACCGGTGCTAGACATATTTGCTGTCTACCAAAGGACTATTTTTTTCAACTTTTCAGACTGCCTTAATTTAGTTAAGTTTTTTGATTTAATTATACACCTTTTTTCTAACGTGAATTTTTTTGACTCTTTTGTTAAATTTGTCATTTTTTCGAACTTTCTCATTTTGACCTTTTGTTTTTTCCTTTTCATTTCCTTTCCCTTTTAACCGTTACTTCTTTTTGTTATTAATTATTTCTGTTTTGCTTTTTCCGTGTTAAGTCTTTTTTTTTTCAGTACCGACATCCCGGAGTTTTTTCTGTTTATTTTTCGTTTCTCGTTTGACCTTTTTAATTTTTACGTGTTAATTATTTCTGTGTTACCCGTTTAAAAAAAAAAAAAAAAAAAAGTCTACGTGTTTATAATTTAATTTTTGTAATTTCTGTCCCTCCTTTTTTTTTTAACGTTATTGGGTTGACCGGTTTTTTTTAGCGGCAGCCATTTTGTAAATTGTAACTTTTTTTGTGTTTCGTACGTATTGCGTTTTTTTTTTCTCCGTTTATATTTATTAGTTTTTTTTAATTTGTAGCTTGCTTGTCTGTTGTACTTGTAATTTTGTTCTTTCTTCGTTTTTGTGAACCTTGTTCACATTTTCTCGTCTGTCCATTTGTTTTACCTGTTTACATTTGTGGTTATATTTTTGCACACGTCCTTTTTTTTTTTTATTGTCTTTTTAAATTGTTGTTAAGCAAACTTTTTTTTACCTCCCTTTTATTTTTTTTTTCTCCTCCCTCCGCCTATAAGGCGGTTCCCCCCCCGTATTTACCCCCCTCCCTTCCTTATTATTTAATTATGGAGAAAAAAAGGAAAAAAAGCCACCCTCCTTTTTTGGCCATAAAAAAAAGCCTAAAAAGGCTATACGCAAACACCTTTTAATCCAACTAAGAAAGATCCCCCGGACAAAGATAACTTAGAGGAATTTCCTGCGCTGGAAACTACTTCCCTAGCAACATTGATGCTGCTGGGGAAAAAGAAAATGAAAAAAAAAAAATATTAATATTTCTACGGAAGCTCAAAATGGCAATAATGAAAAGGACTCACCTATGGAGGCCAATAATGGCCAAAAAAAAGTACAGATTCCAAAAAAAACCGCAAACTGAGCCTGAGGCCGGGGAATCGCCCTCTTGTTGGTCGTCCCCTCCTAAGTGCATTATCAATTTAGCGGAGTTCTTGGAGCGTGCCAAAAGTTACGCACACCTTGTTGTAGATGGTGGACTTTTGGAAGACCCCAAGAATTGAAAAAAATTGACAAAAAGAATAGTGTCGGTTTTCGTCGTGGACAAGCGTACGCGCAAAATTTGTCGCTCGACGAAAAACACAGTGTTAAAAGCATTGGAATCCTTCGGGTTCAAGCCCCTTAGAATAGTTAAGGGTGCTAAAATTTTCATAATGGGACGTACTGTTGCCCACATCAGAAGATTGCGTCGCCGCGGCTAGCCGTGAGCTTATCAACAAAGAGATAATACTGCGTACAGAGTACGAAGGCCGACGTAAGACCAGGGTAATGGTATACGAGGTCCCTCCTCAGGTTATCGGGGAACATCTCGCGGCGTTCTTCTCTCAGTATGGCGAAATTCTGGGAGCTTCCTGTGATAGCCTGAGCGGGGGGTGGAGCTTTGACATCATGTTGGACGAAAGCCTTCCGCTCCATCCCCAACTGTCTGGATGTTGGCGTCTTGAAATTACCGGTCATTGTGACGGGTCGAAGACCGGTATGCTGGAGGTGTGGAGTGACTGGTCATCTCTCCTCCTCCTGCCCAGAGAAGAAGGCCTCTGGAAGTCAAGCGCCAGTTACCCAAGATCCCCTCTGACCGCGTCTCTAAATTCCGCCTCGCCTGTAATGGGCGTACCAGCCTCCGGGACCGGGTCGGTTAATCCTCCGGTCGGCGCAACATCGAAAGCCTCATTCCCCAAAGAGCCTTCGCCCGCTGACGGTGCAGTTGTGGAGAAGGGGAGGGGAATGGCTGGTTGCTGGTAAGGCCAGAGGGAAGCGCCGGACAGCGGGTCCTCAGTCCCCTGAAGCCCCTAGGAAGAAAGGCACATACAGCCCCACTCCCTCTAACAACGTTAAGGGCGATGCCCCGGCCTCGGAAGAATCATTTGAAGATAAACAAAAGAGATTCGACCCCGGTTATGAAAAATCGGAAAAACTCAAAGAATTGAAAAAGCGACTGGATTCAGAAAGAAAAGACCCAATCCCTTCTACGTCCTCTAGTAGACCCGCCCCTTCTCCGAAGAAACAACCCCCTTCATCGCCTGCTATTTCACCATCTAAGGCCAAACCCACCAGTAGGGATCCCAGCCCCTATAGGCATAGATCCTTTTATACCCCCATGAACACTCCCCTCCTTCCCCGTTAAACAAAAAACCACCCCCCTTCATACCCCCAAGCAATCACCGGCAAAAAATGCCGAGATGCCTCCTCCTGCTCCCAAGCGGCAAAGAAGCCCAACACATAAAGAAGAAAAAAAAGATAGAAAAAAAAGATTTATTTTCAACACAGGAGAGGAGGTATGCCGTATTTCCCCTGCCCAGGCCGAGAGAGCCCGGGACTATAGTAACAGGGTCAAAGATCTGAAGTTCCTGCTTTCAATTAAGCAGTTTGCTGATCTTGATATTGAGGAACCTAAAAACTTCCCAAATGCCCAGAGGGTCCTGACTGTTATTAGGTCAGGACCTGCAGCAAATCAAACGTGGGCGATGGTGGAGGAAGCTGTAAATGCCTGTAAGATGGCTTTGCCCATCGCCATAGTCGAAAACGACAAATTAAAAAAGTTACAACAGTTCTGTGCAGGGAGGGTCCCCGTTTTAGTTCACCCATCCCTGTATAGAGCTCTTAAATTGACCTTCCCCTGGGATATCGGCGGTATCTCCCAAGACGGCACCATCAAGAATGAGATGGGCCATGGGTCTATGGGAGACGCGGTCGGTATCCTTACCCCGGCCATGTTTAATGCTGGTAAGCAACCCTAATCGGACTTCTCATGTCTCTCTGGTTAGCTACGTTAAATGTGCGGGGCCTGAGGTCCGAGTCTCGCAGGGCGAGGCTCTCTCGTGACCTTCAGCGCCGGGGTGAATGTTTGTTGTGTGCAAGAGACCCGTTTTTCTTCTCATGACCGTGAGGATATACTGTCTAAGGGGTTCGCCCTTTTTTTCAGCATGTTTTGATGGTCGTTCGAGGGGTGTCTCTTGGCTAGTGAGCAAGTCTTTGAGGCTGCATGTTCCCTTGTCTTCGCAGATCCGGCGGGCAGGCTTTGCGTGCTGGATGATTACTATAAAGGATAAGGCTTTACGTCTCATTGGGGTTTATGCGCCCAATGTTCATGCTGAGCGGCCTGCTTTGTTTCGGCAGATCGAGCCGTTTTGACGACTTCTCGTCGGGTAGTCTTAGCGGGGATTGGAATGCCGTCCTTGACCCCGATATAGATCGTATAGGTAAAAACCGGGTACTAACAATCCTGATGTGAAGGCATTTCGGGACTTTATCGACAGGTTTGATCTTGTCGATAAGTACCGGAATGAGCACCCTCAGGAGGTAGCATGGACTTGGACAACTAGTGGCAACTCGGCCAGTGGCTCGCTTGCGAGCTATCTGGACCGAGTGTTAGTTAGGAGAGTCGACGTAGGGCTCTTAGAGTGTCCAAGTTTCCATTATATAGTTTACACGGATCATAGGCTTGTCCGGGTCCGTGTAAACTTAGATAAACCTAAAGGTTAGATTGGCTGGTTACTGGAAATTTAACTGTTCACTTTTCGGTGAACAGGATTTCCAGGACCAGCTGCTACTAATGATTCAGAGGGAATTGACGGGGGCGGTTGTGGGAAACGCCTGGTGGGGAAAAATTAAAATCAAAAATTAGAACGTTTGCTGCCGATTTTAGTCGTCGACTCAATCTAGATAGACTAGCGGCGCAAACGGCATTAGAAGATAAAGTTGATCGGGCCGTCAAATCCCGTGTTAGTGGGGACATAGTCTTAGCTAAGGCAGAGTTGGCCTCCTTGCTTATCAAGAAGGATCAAGCTCTGGTAGTTAGGGCTAGGCTAAAGAGAATGTCTTCTGAGGCGACGAATATGGCCGCAGAATTGCGTGCAGAGGAAAATCGGAACGCGGCTAAGCGACATATAGCGTGCGTCACATTGCCGGATAAGCGGACCGTGACTACAAGCGCGGGCATATGCGAGGCCTTTCGGCTTTATTTCAGGATCTTTTCACCAGGAGCCCGGTCTGAGCTCTGCTCAGTTCGATGCCTATTTGGCTGACTTTCCCTGCCTTGAGGCAGCTGAAGCGGCTAGGGTGCGAGGGTCCCATAACAGAGTCGGAAATCTGGGATGCGCTGAAGCAGGTTGGCCTGGATAAGTCTCCGGGACTAGATGGACTTCCCTACGAAGTGTACTTGAGGCTGTCGCCCGTTTTTGTTCCTTTGCTGCAGCTGATTTACAACCACTGGATGAGGCAGGGTCTTTACCTCGACGCTTCACCAGGGGTGTGATCAAGTTGTTGCGTAAGGACAAGAACGGTGGGGATGGGTTAGGGAACTTTCGCCCTTTGACGATGTTAAATACTGACTTAAAGATTTTGGCGAAGATCTTAGCCAACCGTTTGCAGCTTGTCCTGTCTCGTCTGATTGGCCCCGAACAGACTTGTGCTGTGAAGGGCAGGACGATTCAGGATAACCTTCATATGGTACGCTTGATCTTAGAACAAGTCGACAGTGAAGCCGCGCTGATCAATTTAGATCAGTCAAGGCCTTCGATAGGGTTGACCATCGGTTTCTGGAGGCTGTCCTGTCGGCGGCCGGTTTCGAGCCGACTTTCGCTCCTGGATCCGGCTCTTGTATGCGACCCCGGTGCGCTGGTGGAAGTGAATGGGGTAAGGTCGGAGCCTTTCGTATTGTCTCGCTCCATTCGTCAAGGTTGTCCGCTATCGCCCTTGCTTTACGTTCTTGCGTTGGAACCATTCCTTCGCAAGTTAAAGGCGAATCCGGTCCTGCGCGGAATTACCCTGCCTGGCGCTACCACCTCGGCCAGGTATTCTGCCTATGCTGACGACGTTTCGGCTCTTGTGTCGAGCAGAGCCGAGATTGACGAAGTCAGCAAAAGAAATAAGTGGGTATGAGATGGTGACGGGGCCAGGATCAACCGTGATAAGTCTGTGGGCTTGCGGTTGGGTGCGTGGAAGGAGTTTCTCTTCCCGGACCTTTCCTCTGGACGGATGGGCCGATCAAGATACTCGGCGTCTGGTTCGGTCCTGATCTCCAGTTGGAAATGAACTGGTCGGAGGTACAAGGGAAGGCCGAGATCGCGGTTAATCTGTGGTCTCGGAGGAGACTTTCCTGAAGGGAAGGGCGGAAGTATGTGTTTCACACATCTATCCGATCCTCCTCTACCGACTCTCTGTGCTTCCACTCCCGTATGCCCGACTAATGCAATTAGTCAGGACCTTGTTCTCTTTCTTGTGGAGAGGCAAGGCCCCTATGGTATCTCGCGAGGTCTGTTGCCTCCATCCCTCTGAGGGCGGTCTGGGGATGCCTAGCATTGAGATCCGTCAATATATGCTTCGCATTACCTTTTTAGACCGAATGTGTCGTGGGTCGAATGAGGAGGGTGCCTTTTTGGAAAGAAGACGTCCAGAAACATTTTCCATCCCTGAAAAGTGTGCACTCGTGCGAACAAGAGGCCGGCCGTTTACCACGTGCCGAGTGCTCTTTTTTATCGTGAATGTCGTCGCGCTCTGAAGCTCCTCTTACGGGTTTCGGATGGTCTCCAACGCCCAGGCGTTGTCTCGCAAGGCATTATATCAAGTTTTAGTTAGGGGGGTCCGTACAAGATGATCTGATTGGCGAGCTCGGTCTTACGAAGCGGGAGGCTCGCTCGATATGGCCTTGGGCGCCCGGGTTGAAATGTCTCAATAACGATGAGGCATCACTCACCTGGCTGGTGATTCGTAAAGCCCTCTGGGTCAGCAAGAGACTTTGTTCAGCAGGCTTGGAGAATTGTCCAAACTGTCGTCGCTGTACGGGGGAAGTCGAGACTATTGGTCACGCCTTCTTTCAGTGCAGGGTGATAGTGCCGTTGTGCAAGTTTCTTGAGGGCCTCATGGTTCGCATGCTGCATGGAAAGGTTTTTGTCCTGGATGCCAGAGCTGTTTGTAGCAATGTGGTGCCGCAGATGACGAAGGCTGAACACTATGTGTTCTGTTGCTTACTAGGGGTTATGAGAGTCGTGATTTGGACGACGCGTCAGAAGGATTCCATGAGGGCGAAGTTCACTTCTTCCCAACTGATCTTGTTCTTTAAGCATCAGCTTAAAGTCAAGATCAGGACGGAAAAACGGCAGCTCACCTCATCGGAATTCAGCAAAAGGTGGGTGATTCTTGCGCGAATGTGCCGAGTAAAGGGGCTGACCTTGAGTGGCATTTGGATGCCGGTTAGGCATTGGGATATTGTTTTCCTGGGTTGAACATAGGCAACCCATCCCGGAGTTAGGTTAGATTAGGTTTTTGTTTTTTCTTTTAGTTTTTTCTATTCTGGTAAACTTAGCTAAGGTGTATTTGCTCATTGGTCCCCTTTTATTTCTGTCCCCTTTTTTTTCTTCCTTTAGTTTAACTCCCCATCCCCTCCCTTGTTTTTTAGGTGGTCAGTAATGTCAGTTCTCTGGTAGATGTGGGGCGCCTTTCGTTTCGTGTGTGTGTTTTTCGTACTTGTTGTTGTGTATAAATGAGTGTGTGCCTGTGTGAGTGCTTGGGATGAATGAGTGTGGCTTTATTTTCATAAGTCCCGCATCGATTTCGTCCAGTTAACTGATATTTCTGCCACATTCAAGAGTTTGTGGGGGGTTTTATTACTAACACTAATTTTATTTGGTTTCTTGTAAATATATTTTGTCATTTTGTATAATTTCATTGGGGTTCATTTTAAAAAGTTGTTGTTTTTTATGCCCCTCCCCCACGGACAAATATTTTGTACATAAGGGGATTATTTAGGTTTTTTCATGGAGTCAAAGAGGCATTTTGGTGTTTGTAGTAAGAAAGGTATGGATAAATGTGTTGTTTTGGTGAAAGGAATATTGTTCTGTATGATAGGGTCAGTGATTGTGGCTAGCTAAGTTTAATCTAAGACTAGTGATGACCGTCTTTCACCCCAATCCCCTTTTCGGCCTTGTGCCACATTTGTACATATGTGCAATAAATATAAGATAGTAGAGATTAAGAAATTGAATCCAGAGACTCTGCCCGACTGCGATTTAGTCAACCCATTATGCAGGAACAGTCTTCCCAAGAATATACCAAACTAACTGTAAATATTGTGTACCTATTCTTTGTTTCAATACATTTTGTTAACGTACATTTTGTGTTGTATTATTCCATGCTTATTTAAGCTTCAACAATGGCGACGAGGTATAAAGAACTTTACGTTTCGAAAAAAAAAAAAAGAATTAATAATTGATAGCCTTCAATAATTGGGACAAGTGGAAGAACCCAGGCTGGAAAAAAAAAAAAAATCATTAATTAAAAGTCGAACATCTAATGGAACGGAAAAGTATTCTGAAGTTTGGACAGTTAAAACTAGTTAAAGGACGACTAAGCTTAAAGGAACGTACACTCAGAAAAATCTGGAAGGTGGCGTAAACAAATAACGGCGAAAAAAAAAAAAATGCTGGCCGACTAAAAAAAAAAAAAAAAAAATGCTGGCCGACTAAAAAAAAAAAAAACATGCATGGAATTAAAAGGAGCACAAATACCACGTGTCGACTTTGAAAGGTAAGCGAACTTGTAAAAAAAAAAAAAAAATTTGTTATTTTTTGTTTGTTTGGTTGCTCAACAATATTTTATAAAGCAAGACATAAAATTAAAAAAGGCGTATGTTGTTTCAATTTTGTTTTGTCTGCTTATAGTATATTCGTGGATACACAATTTAAAAGTATATTCTTTGTTGCATGAACACTATCAGTTAAAAAATGGAGGAATTATCCAAAGTCATAGCTGAATTGTTTAAAGCCCAGCAGTTGAGTCAAGCTGAATTATTCAAATCCCAGCAGTTGAGTCTGCAACAACAAAGTGAACAGGTTGCCTTATTAAAGAGAACAACAATTAGCACAGCAGAATTATCAAGAAAGGCAAGAGGAGTTGAGTCAGCAACGTCAAAGGGAACAGGAAGAAATGTATGTCAAGGTTTTGGAAATTCAAAAGTTAACATTGGAGAAATTAAACAACGTTCAGGTAAATGAAAGTAACTCTTCATATTCTAATAACATCATATTTAATTCGTTGGAAACTTTCAACTATGTGCCAGACGAAGGAAAAACGTTTGAAGCGTACTTTAAACGATATGAAGATATTTTCCACACAGACTGTGAAAACTGGTCGAATTCAAGAAAAGTCAGTCTATTACTAAGAAAGCTAGGTACAGCAGAACATAGCAAATTTGTAGATTTTATTCTACCGAGAAGAACAAATGAATTGGAATTCTCGAAACAGTGAAATTGCTAAAGGAGTTGTTTGGAGCAAATATGTCGCTTTGGCATAAGCGATGGTTATGCATGAATGTCGCTAAATCCGACGATCAGGATTACTTAACTTATGCATCTATAGTGAATAGACATTGTGACAATTTCAGATTGGCAGAGATTACGGTTGAAGAATTCAAGTGTTTAATTTTTGCTCAAGGACTGGTATCCAGTAAAAGTGCCGAAATAAGACGTAGAGTTTTGTCTAAACTCGAATCTGAACAAAACCTTACCCTGCAAAAGTTAGCAGAGGAGTGTCAGCGGGCCGTAAGTTTAAAGAAAGAGTCTCAAAAATTGAAGAAGCTGGTATTGCTTATATTAAAAAGTGAAGAAACAGTCAAATTACCCATCAGAAAAAAAAAATTGGATTAAAAATTCGGCGTATTTTAAAAATAAACAAGAAAAATTAAATGGAAAAAATGAGGAGGGAAAAAAAATGGTTCCGCCATTTAATTGTAGACGGTGCAACGGAAGACACTGGGAGTTAAATTGCCCATATAGAAATAAAAAAATGTTTCGTGTGCCACAAGAATGGTCACAAAGGGTCGTGTTGTAAAACGAAAAAGTCAATAGCCGAATTAGACAAACAAATTCAAATATCAAATCAGATAGAGATTTGAGGAAGTATGTGACGACTGAAATATTTAAAAAGAATATCAAATTTCAACTCGATTCGGGTTCAGATTTAACAATAATGAACTATAAAACATGGAAAATTTTAAAAGGCCTACAATAATGAAGTCAACGAAACGCGCTCGAACAGTGACTGGAAAGGAAATTAAATTCGAAGGCGAGGTTGTACTTCCTATGAAATTGAACAGGATAGTTAAAAAAATAAAAGTTTTCATTCTGAAAAATGGAGAAAACTTGATGGGTACAGATTTTATTGAAACATTCGAATTGTGGGATAAACCGTTAAACTCTTTCTGCAGAAAAGTAGAAAGTAATACGCAAACAAGACAGGACATTATTGAGGAATTAAAAAAAAGTTTCCGGAAACTTTCACACCTGGTCTTGGAAGATGTAACAAGTTTGAAGCCAAATTCGAATTAAAGGAAAATACTATGCCAATTTTTAAAAGAAACGTACTGTGCCTTTCGCAAGTGTAGAGAAAATTAACGAAGAACTTGATAGGTTGGAAAAAAATGGGAATTATTTCGAAAGTAGAATCTAATTCATGGGCTGCGCCGATTGTGTGCATAAAAAAGAAATCAAACCAAGTCAGAGTCTGCGTTGATTTTTCGACAGGGTTGAACTCGGTAATTAAGGACTACCATTACCCGTTACCGAGTCCGGAGGAGATTTTTAACAAGCTAAATGGTGGAGTTATATTTTCAAAAATTGACTTATCAGATGCCTATCTCCAAATTCCCGTCGAAGAGGAATGTTCGAAGTTACTAGGGATAAACACGCATAGAGGGTTATTCAAGTACAACAGGCTTCCTTTTGGTATTAAAGTGGCACCTGCCATTTTTCAACAAGCTATGGACGTCATGCTGAATGATTTAGACTTTGCGTGCGCTTACTTAGACGACATCATAGTAAGGAGCGAATCGGTCGACGAACATCGAGAGCATCTCAATCAAGTATTTAAAAAATTCAGGACTTTGGATTTAAAGTCAAAGAGTCAAAGTGCGAATTTGGTTTGGAGGAAATTAAGTATTTAGGGCACATAATCAACAAAAATGGCAGATGTCCAGATCCGGAAAGGTCCATTGCGATTAGAGACATGCCGACGCCCACTAATGTGGCGATGCTACAAAGTTTTCTAGGGCTTGCAAATTATTATCAAGCGTTCATTAAAGGAATGTACAATTTAAGAGCTCCGTTGAATGAACTGCTAAAAAAAAGACAAGGCATGGGAATGGACGGTAGAATGTCAGAAAGCCTTTGATGAAATAAAGAAAATGCTTACGTCCGACCTCTTTTAACCCATTACAATCCAAAACTGGATATTGTAGTGGCAAGTGACGCTAGTTCATACGGGATAGGGAGCGTGTATTCAACACATAATGCCAGATGGTTCTAGAAAACCAATTGCACACGCTTCGAGAACTTTGCTCCCAGGAGAAAGAAGTTACTCTCAGATAGAAAAAGAGGCACTGAGTATCATTTTGCCATACAAAAATTTCACAGGTACATCCACGGCAGACATTTTATCCTTGAAACGGATCATAAACCACTGATCACCATTTTGGTTCAAAAGAAAGGGTTACCCGTTTATACAGCA